GATTTCAGAGCTCCAAATTAATCTCCTTCAGCCTCTGTAGGAATGCAACATAACAAAGCAGTGTTCAAAACTTATTATCCTGGTGAATTTGGTACAATTGTACTGTAATCTCTGTCTTACCCTTACTGTAACTGAGCCAGAATCCAGCCTAGTAGCAGACATTAGAAACTACTATGATTAAACATAATTTTAATTTTCTATTAAATTCAGCCTGCAGCTTCCCTTCTATTCATTAATGCCAGGCTAATACTTACTTTTACAATTTACAGAAATTTGTAGACCTTCCATATATTTCCTCCACCAAACTGATCTTCAGCCAGGCATATTCAGTACCTTCACTCCTTCCTGATGAATCTGACAAAAATTCCAGCTTTCAGGTTAGTGTTGGCTCTGCCCAGATACTGGTGATTACACTCAACCATTAGGATGCTTGTGGAAAGCGGATGTGGAACTGCCTTAACAAGTCTGAATTTGCATCAGACTTTGAATCCATATGAATACAGAATCTGCTTTTCATCCAGATGTACTCTGAAACTCAGACTCTGGTCTTTCCTCCCGTGCTACTCTGTCCATGTTCTTTGGCTGTGAGGTATCCAGAATAAGTTTCAAGCACACATTTCTGTGAAGAAAATAATTACCCAGCAGCAGTCCACCTACAGCTGAGCTACAGCACATGTTAAAGCTCATCTTCAGGCTTCAGTGCTCATTTCACACAAAGAGGAGATGCAGGACCAATTATAAGGCTCAGCCCATGTGTGGTAACATGTTCAATCACATCTTGCTCATGCGCCCAAGCCTCATAGTCCAGCACCTCCTCCAGAAATATCGATTTGCTGTCCTGGCCCTTCATGCTTGTGTCCCTGGGGCAGTTGCTTAATGAAAAGATTACATTGGAAGGCCCTGAAGATTTCCTCTGCATCGAGCAGAACTTTGGTTTCAAAACAGAGATACACAGAAAGGGAAAGAATTTGTTCTTTGTGATTGCATCTGGGCAAGGATTCCCCCATGCCTTTCAGACACAGTGGTTCAGCTTCATGGGTGGCTGCTGGGAAGCTTCTGATCTCTCACTGGGCACTGTGGGGAGCACTGGGCTGGAGCTGCTGAACTAGAAAAGCAAAGACTAGATCCTGGGAAAGATGGCTGGCTGGTCCACAGCAGATGTTTGTATTAAGAAGCAGGAACTGTCTAGAAAGGTATCACAAAAAGGCAGACATTTTCTAATAGAAATCTATATTCTGACTTTACTAAAATAATTCCCCCACTTCTGTAGCTTTAATCAATTCCCCAGCTCAGAGATAATTACACTGTGCCTCTGCAGCCAACAGGTAAGGATGGCACTCTTGGATTACAGGAGGTAGAAACAGCCATATTTATGACTCCTGATTAAAACATGGTATTGGAAAAGAGTATTACTTGAGTCATCAGGATATCACTTGACCATTGCTTTCCTTTACAATTAAATTAGAAAAAATAATAAAGTTGCATTAAATTAAAAAGAGAGTTTCAAGAAAATATTCCAAGGCTTGCCACAGTGGGTGTATTGTATGCTTATATTATTCTCCACCCATTGTAAATCTCAGCAGTAGATCTTCCCCCACTGATGTTTTGCATTAGTAAATTGAACTCTCTACTCTGTCCCCTCAAAGATTAATGCCTCCATCTGAGGAAGCAGTTGAATACGTGCTGGCAGTAGTGCTTTCATGACGAGCAAATGGGAGACTGTGGGAGGAGAACAGAATTTGCATGTGTTGGATGTTGGCCTAAACATACTCTCACTGAATTCTGGACATCAGGGAAGAATTGATACAGCACAAACTTTTAATCAGCAAACCACAGGAAAAAAAATTGAAAAATTCTAAATTTAATTAAAAAGCTTTTCAGCCCTCTTTGTTCCAAAATGAGCAAATGAGTCTGCAGAGCACACTCCACACATCTCAAACACATTTTTCCTGTCAAGGGGCATTACATTTTATTAGTGGTCCTGGAGGAAGTTTCTAAATTTTTGTAGAAGTCCAAAATATTTTCCCCAACCTATTTTTTTGAAGACACACAATTGAAAGATGTTTAATTGCTACAAATGTTAAACTGATCGTTCAAAGTGAGTGTGATGCCTCATATGCCCATAGCATCCAGTGCTACCTGATCCTAGTACAAACTTCTGTTCTGCTATCTTCATGTCCCTTTTGCTCACTAGAAAGCTACCCAGTGAGCTTGCTTAAAAACCAAACAAATTTGCCTAAAACAAACCAAAATGTCAGCAGAGAGGAGGTTGACATTGCCACCTGGCTGTGTAAACAGCTGCATGCAAAGAGCTACCTTAGGACCCACGTTTATTCAAATCGAACTTACGTTTAACTTTTTTTTTTTTTCACAACCAACAGCACGTGAAGGAACAAATAAGCACACTCAGTACAGAACAAAGGACATTCATCACTGGGATATTTTGGCCTCTAATTGAACAGCAGTCATATCAACTTCCTCCTTCACCCAGGACTGCATGTCTTTGCTGTGCTAGGGAAGGAAAGGCAAAAACACCTGTGGGCACTGGAGATTTTTACTACAATTCTTGCAAGAGTGCACTTGCTAACCAAAGTGCTCTGACTGCTTTCCAGCCAAGGCAGATACAAGATTTTGCCTGCCTAGAAATCATCTAAGTAGTTTCAAAACATTTTCTTCACTTCCTGCCTTAAACTTTTGCAACTATTACCTTCTGCTTAGAGACAGTGGCTTTTAACAAGGGGTAAAATTAATTCCCAAGTCTGTCATTTGCCAAGTACCTTTTTTTTTTAAAGTTTGATGATGATTGACATGTTTACTTGTTTCTGCGTTAGTTTTTAAATTAACCCCTTATGATAATTGACAAAGGCCTCAAAATGTAGATGTGGATGACATAGAAATGTGAAAGCAAGCAAGTAGCTAAGTATAGTGTATGTTTTTTTAAAGCAGTTTTAAAATTAAATTCTGCTGAAATCACAGAAGTGCTGTAGTCTTGTTTTAGTTTAAAGGCTACTTCAACAGAGACAGTTTTCAGATCCCCACTGATGAATATCCTCGTCACTTTCACAGTTCCCAACAGGCACTAAACTGCTGGAATTTGAGATGCCAATCGCTACCAGTCAGGCATTGCTACTTTTATACTGGCATTTAGTACACGCTGTCATTTTCCCACTAAAATTTTAAGTGGAGGAAGGCACCTGAACACCAGTTATCTGGGAACCAAGGACAACAGACTATGGGCCAACAGATATGGTATCAGTCACGGCCAGATAATATGTCCTGACGCTGTGAAGTGCTGCTTGTGGCCAACTCGTGCCGAGAATGGCGATAACCGCAGCCACCCAGCGTCACAACACCGAGCACCCTGTGTGCCGGGTGTCCACAGAGCTGCTGGCACTGCCCGGGAAACGCGTGTTTGGATTTAGACACAGGTCGATACACGGGTCGATACTACACAGTTGTGTCAAAACACAAACGAGGAGCGTTGTTTTCTCTGCAGTTGGAATATGACGTTGTGATAAGAGTACAAACAGGTGCGAATGCGCAAGCGGTGTGGACGTGGCCAGGGCCGGTGGATTTGGGCAGCCTGGAGCAGAGGACGGGACAAACTCGTGAGAGGTTCCTGCCACGGAGGGAATGACCTGTGAGCCCAAACCCACAAGGCAGAGCTTGTGGATCAGTGCACAACAGCAGGAGACTGGGGATGGTCAAACCACACACCGGGCTCAGGCCAGGAAAGGTTTCTTATCGCAGCAGTGATTCCATGCCGAGCTCCGGAGCAGGACATCGAGAAGAGTCCATCAGAGAAGAGCTCCATGGAGGCACCCTCGGGCAGCTGTGGAGGCCGGGCTGGCTCCCCGCGGAGGAGCCGGGGTGCCCTGGCACAGGAGCGGATGGAGAAGGGCCGGAGCCTGTGGAGGAGGAGGTGGGCAATCCTGGGGGAGAGGAAGGGGTGCTGGGGATGCTGGCACCGGCTCCACCCGGACACTTTACAGCTCCTGGGGCGAACTTCACCCAACCAAACCCGTTTGTTTAATTACTTGAAACATCACTTGTCTGTTCAGCGGGAGGAGATGGACAGGAGACCGTATTGTGGTGTACAACTTTGGGGCTGTGAAGGGAAGTGAAAGGACAAGCACTGATCTGCGGTGACAGTGACAGAACCCCAGGGGATGGCCTGAAGCTGTGTCAGGGGAGGTTCAGGATGGATATTGGGGAAAGGCTCTTTGCTAGAAGGTGGCTGGGCACTGGACCAGGCTGCCTAGAGAAGTGGTGCCAACCGAGCCTGACAGAGCTCAAGAAGCATTTTGACAATGCTCTGAGGCACGTGGTGAGATTCTTGGGCTGTGCTGTGCAGGAGCTACACTTTCCATATCGTTGTGCGTCCCTTCCAACTCAGAACATCCCATGATTGTGTGACCTCCCCAAGGCCCGGGCGGGTAGCTAGCAGGAGCCCACCCGGCCCGGCCCGGCCTCGGCAGCGCGGCGCTGACTCAGGCGGGCGGCAGGCGGCGCCTTTAAATGTGCCGGGCCCGGCCGCTCCGCCTCAGGTGCCGCCGCCGCCGCCGCTCTGCCCGCTCTGCCCGCCCGCCGCACACCGCGCCTGCGCCGCCCGGCGCGCCCGCTCCGCTCCGCAAAGCTTTGTCCGGGCCCGGCCGAGCGAGCGGCGGCTCCCGCGGAGCGACCCCCGGCCCCGCCACCCCGGCCCCGCCAGCGCTCACAGCCGGGGGCGCGGGCGGCCCTTAAGGTGGATCGCGCTTAAGGTGGAGCGCTGCCGTGAGGCGGACCGGGCGTTAAGGTGGATCTCGCTTAAGGTGGACTCTCGGCGAAGCCGCGCCTGCCGGCGGGGGGGCCGGGGCTCGGCATGGGGAGCCCCGCCTGAAGCGGGGCCCGAGGAGCCGCGCCGGCCCGGCCCGAGGAGGAGATGGGGGAGGCCCGCTGCTGAGGAGCCAGCTTCGCCCCGGCTGCTGACAATGCCCGGCTCCCGGCCGCTCGGCAGGAAGAGGCAGCCCATGGACGAGGGCGAGGTGGGCAGCGCAGCCCGGCGCGGAGCTGCCGGGGCCGGAGAGAGCGGGGCTGCTCCGGCTCCCGACCGCTCCGGAGGGGTGGCGGTGGCGGGGGGTACCCCCATCGTGTTTGGATTGGGAGAGGTTTAATTTTTTTTAAAGGCAGCTCCTTCATCACCGCCATCCTCCTCCTCCTCCTCGTCCCTTTGCAGCTCTGAAGCCGTCCCGGCCGCAGCCTCCCCGCCGGCCCCCGGGATCCCCCGGCGCAGCGCCATGGAGACGGTGGGAAAGTTTGAGTTCAGCAGGAAGGATCTGATCGGGCACGGAGCCTTCGCCGTCGTCTTCAAAGGCAGGCACAAAGAGGTGAGAATCCCTGCTTTTAATTCCGCCGCCCCCCCCAACCCCCCTCCGCCTTTCATTTATTTATTTATTTCCTGGTCTGGGCCGAGCTGGGGGCAGCGCGCCCCGGTCACCGCATCCCTGCCGGCTGCGGCGGCTCTCGACAGCCTGGGCATCACCCCGGGCTCGGGGTGTTTATTGTTATTTATTGTAATTTATTGTTGTTCTCCTTGGAGTTTCTTCCAAGCAGGTGTGTGTCCCGGCAGGAGCCGGGCAGGTGGCTTCACCTTGGGGCTGGGAGGCCGTCAGCTGCCTGTGGGGTGCCCACAGATCCACACAAAACCCGTTCCCACCTCCAAAACAAGGGAGGAAAAAATCCACACACACTATCTATGAAAAGAACTCTTTAGTTTATTTGGGATTTTTTATTTTTTTGGTGTCTGTGAAGTCTTCTTCTCCACTTAAATTTTCCAGGAGGAGGAGAAATCTCTTACTGGAAAATAAAAGGAAACCAATCCGGCAGTGGATTTTCCATCATTAGTGCTTGGGATAAGCCGCGGCTCCCACAGTGCATTTATTTCTAGTGATTAAATAAGAGGATAATCATTGTATAAAGTAGTAACAAAAACCTAAACCTTGGGCTGACAAGCATAATTCAGGAAAGGGCAAGTCTGAACAAGTAAGGAGAAGGCATTAGGATGTGAAGCGAGAGGCCTTTACCGGTGCTACAAGACACTTCTTCAGCCGTATTTGTAATCTGTTAAGAGGCTGCTTATCCTAATGTGAATGAATGGTGAAATTTACATTTGTTTGTGTTACTTACGTACTGTTTCAGAAACCTGAGCTGGAAGTAGCGGTGAAATGTATTAACAAGAAGAACCTTGCAAAATCACAAACACTCCTGGGCAAGGAAATAAAAATTCTTAAGGTAAAGGCAGATTGGCTTCTTTTCTTCAGTATTTGTTCTACATACCCTTTGTTGCCCCTAGCTTATGGTTTTTTTTTTTTTACTTTTTCTAGGAATTGAAACATGAAAACATTGTTGCCTTGTATGACTTCCAGGTAAACAAATTCAATTATGTTAAACCATTGTAAATTTGGGAAAGGTTGAATGGAGTTTGTGAAATTTCAGTTTTTAACAAATGTTTGTATTCAGATTTGTACTTGCAGGGGGGTGTTGAAAGCCTTCTGATAAGTTAGGGAAAGTTAAGCAAACACAGTAGATCATGTGTTAATTGTTGGCTGGATCACACAACTCGTGCAGTCGGGAGTTGAGGTGGGAGCTTCTGTTCCAGGATATTACACAGTGAAATGCAGTGTAGTGAATATGTCTGTGCTGGAAGCTTTTAAGTTCTCAAAATGTTAGAAGTAAAATTAACAGTAGTTATTTTTGGCATGCCTACTCTTTTATTTTCTTTCTCTGGTCTGGATACCCTCCCTGAGAAAATTTCTTTTTCCTAGGCCATGTAAAAATAGTGCAAGCATGACTTTGTAGCATATGATTGTCTTCAGCTCCGGAGGATTTCAATTTGCATTTTTGTTGTCCTTGTGGTCGTCACTAAGTGTTAAAAATTGCACCAGGCATTTTTCCTTCAAAGTCAGCCCTGAAGACCTGATCTAGAGGGGCTCAAACCGATCTGCTGCGAAACTCAAACCATCCAGATTTTTATTTATTTTTTATTTTCGCCTTGATTATTTAGTTAACTCGTCCCGTTACCAAGCAGGATTTTTCTTTGCCGTTCGCGAATGCTGTTAAAAAAAACGACAGGACGCAAAGGCTGAGATGGAACGGCAGTGCTGCTGGGTGAGGGGCTGCGGTCCGGGGCGAGTGACCGGACCCTTGGCGGGGTTTATCGCCAGTGTCCCGCCCTGTCGCCGATATCACGTGTCCCGCAGGCCGCCGTGTTTGTTGACATTTTTCCTTGTGCCGAGGATTGGCTCCGGTGGCTCGGCGTCAGCCCGGCAGCAGCGCCGGCCCCGGCTCAGCGGTGCCTGCTGGGTGCTGTAGTCCGCCCGTGTCCCGCAGCCCCGCTCCCTCGCTGCCGGAGCAGGGGGCTCTGCACGGCTGCCCTGGAGCATTTTTGGAGTTGTTGCCTGGCGTTGTTTTGGCGAGAAGGGGATCTAGGGGGTGTCAAGCTGATCCGGCTGTTGGAAATCTCTTATGGATGGCTGTGCTTTGCTCCTGAGGCGGCCTTCGGAGCTGCCTTTGGGCTGATGGGTGCTGCAGAGTAGCTGGGAACGCTTCCTGGGGGTACAGGACACTTAGGGCATTGGGTATTTTTTTTTTTTTTCATTCTCTCTACCGTCCTAATTTGCTTAATAACTTTTCACTTGAGAGAGTGAGTGGCTGCTCCTGCACTTTATAGTTTGCATTTGTATGAAGCATTTATGCTGCTGGGTTTGCTTACTGAGCTCTTTCAAAACGTTTGTTAGATTCTTCTCCCTCCTTCAAGTTGCTGCTGAGTAGGAAGCAGCTCAAAGACATTTTCTGCAAAAGGAGCAATTTCATCACTTTTTAAATTATAGAATTGTGTTTTTCTCATTTTGTGATGAGCTTTATTAAATTCTGTGTTTAGCAGTGTAGTGTGGTGAGATTTTAGCAAGAAGCTATGTAAGATATCACAAAACAGGAACTTGAGAATGGTCCAGGGCTCAAGGCATGACCAGGTTTGTGCTTAGTTACCAGCTTTGTCATAGAGTCCTCGTATGACCTGGGTAATTTGATTTCTCAGAGAAAATGAGATTATTTAGGGGGCATTGGGTGTGGACTCTCCTCTGGTGTCAGGTGATCTATTACCAGGCAGTCTGTTGCAGTTAACCTACATACGTTGTGTGTGTAGTGTCTGAATGTTTGGCCTTGCTGTGTATCTGCTTAGGGAAATAATTTATCTGCAAAGGTAAAAGTGCAGGTCTGTGGAAGTCTGGCTTCTGCCTACCTTTCCTTCCTTTGAGGGGAAGACTACTACTTGCATAGCTCCCCTGATACCAGATCAGTAGCTCTATTCATAGCTGCATATATATTTATCCTCAAAAATATCATATTTGTAGTTAATTGAATCCTTACTTGTAGGCTTTCTAAACCAGAAAATGTTTATTCTTGTATTACAACATAGAGCAAAAGGGAAAAAATACTTCCTGTGAAACTGTGAAAATTGTTGCCCTGTAGCTTTGTCTGTCATTGCATTTTGTGTCCTCCCTTCCTCTGCACTGCCTGTCAGCAGTGACTCTGACTTTTACTCGTGTGTTTCTTACACACAAGGAAATGGTTACCAAAACCACAGTGGCTGTAAGCGAGTGATTACACCCAATGGTGCTTTCATTTGCATTTTTCTGGTTAAAAACTCAAGTTAGCCAGACCTCTCACAACGTGAGATTTTTGATGTAAGGCTAAATTTGCTCCAGACAAACACTTGCAGTACTGATGTTTGGTACTGACAAGCAGCCCTCACCCTGGCACCCTTAATTTATCCTTCAAATCTGGGAAAATTGCTGTGTTCCATCTCACTTCAGATCTTTGTGATATTGGTTCATTAATAATGAGAAAATAAGAAACTTTCTAGGAAGATTATTCTGATGAATGTTTAATGTATAAAAGTGCAGTGACTGGACTTTTATAGATCCCCTTGCTGGAGTCCTTAGAACAGCATCAGTACATGAGACTGGCTCACAAAATGAAATATGCATATTCCCATTATTATCTGCTCATATATTAATGAGAGGTGCTGTTAATAGTTTAGGAGCCTAATGCAAGAACCCCTGCTCAAAAAGAGAATAAATCTTACTGTATCACGTTTCTTAAAGTGCTGTCTATTTAGTGTCTGTATGGAGTTGAGATACGGGTTTTTCCTGGGCACAGGAGATGTTTGGTAGACAGTAAAAGGGGTATTCCACCATGTGTGGGGTGTTTTAGTTGCTACTGAGCACTACCTGACCCCTCAGCTGCTTGCAGAGGGGCTGGAGCTGAGATCACCAGTCTGCAGCAGTCGAGGGGAGTAGAGTGGTCCAGAGGGACATCTGGGTACCAGAAATCCTTTTACTCTGATGACAGCCAAATGAGCCCTTGTTCCTTAAGATGGAAACTAGTAATAACAAATCACGGTTTCTGCCAAAGGAGGACTTGGTATGGAAACAAAATTTCTTGGAAAGCTGGTCTCCATAACTCTGAGGATCAGCTCAACTCCTCATGCTCATTGACAGAGAAAGCTTAACATGTGGTCTGGTGTGGAGGGCTTGCTTTGGTTTCCTTTGTGTCTCAGGACATTATATCTGTGATCAGAGACCACTTGATTAGCTGAGGAGATTCCATGGTAGGAAGGGAACCCTTGAACTTGTCAGATCCTGGGAGCACTGTGTGCCAGAAAATGTGCCAGCACTAGGAAGAAGTTCCTACATAGGTGGCTCAGATCCTTGGGCAGTGGGAGATTCTGGGTGTCTTTCCCTCCCTGTTCTGTGCCAGCTGCCCCAGGTTGAGTAGGTATCAGCTGAAGATTTAATTTCATATATATGGCTGTGGTGATACTACGACAGAAAATCTGCTGAATCTGGACATGTCATGCTTTGGATATTAGAAAGCATTTTCCTTTGGATATTAGAAAGCATTATTTTGCAGACAGTTTTTCCCTAGGTCTGTGCTGTGAGCTGAACTTGCTTCTTAAAGCAGCCTAGCTATGACTGGGCTTGAATGGGTATCAGGTGGTTTTTGTGTTAGGTTTTTTCCCCTGATTTCTGCACGGGTGGGATGGACTGGTTGCAGCAATACAGCTGTTAACATCACACAAGGCACTGTGTTGTGACGTTTCTGGCTCAGCCTATGTTACCTGAGGGTCTGCTTTCTACAGTTTGGTGACAGGTTGGCTTCTTATAGTCAGTAGTTTGGGATGAGCTGAGACAAATGCTTAACTCAGTCACCTGGTACAGACTCACCAAAAATATTTCTGCAGCGATGACTGTATCACCTGGAGACAAAGAACACAGAGTCCTTGCAGTGCAGTTTTTTTCTTGTTCACATGAATTAAGGCATGGGTGGCAGAACAAGCACTTCTCAGGTTAGTGATCAGTCACCCTGGGCTGGTCTTGAGAGCCAGTTAATAACAGCTTTGTTGTGTTGGTGCTGTGTAGAAAGTCCCTGTGATCAATAGAGCTGTGGCTGCTGGGCTGTGATGCTGTGCTGGCTGCACCATCGCTGTTTTTCTGGCACAGAGCCATTAGATGCTGCTCCGCATCTTGTGTACGTGCCTCCTGCTGTCCCCTGGGACCCCTGGAGCTCTGTGGACAGCAGTGTCCTTCTGTGTGCCCTCCAGCACTGCTCACCTCTGCAGCAGCACCGCGCTGATGAGCGTGATGCCGGGTGAATCAGTGCTGCTGCAGTGTCACCTCATGCCTCGCCACCTCTCGTGCCACCTCATGCAGGATCTTCTGTTCCTCAGGCACTGCTGTTTACATGCCCCATCTCGGGAGACAGGGCTCCACTGAGGCACTTGGAATGACTAAAGAGGCACTCTGTGTCTGGGAGATTGCTCTCCTGAGGTCAGGCTGCCTGCTTAAATCCTGTTTTAATTCCATCCCCTAGCAAAGCTGGCAGGTTGCCTGGTGAGTGGGTGTAAAGTGCAGCTCTCTGAACTGCCGAGCAATCCTCTTTCTGTTTGTGCTGTGGACAAGAATGGGGTGTCTGCTATCCTGCTCTGTCAGCATCCTCGCATCTGTTGAAGGGAATCACTCTTACTGAAGATTGGATCTGGCTTAATTTAGAGCTAGAAGGAGAAAGAATGAAAATGCAGCTACACTCTGCCAGCAGTTTTGTAAGGAAATGCTTGAGAGTTTAGTAGAACAGAATGGCCATATTTGTGGAGAGTTGAGTTCTGTAGTGTTGAACTTCGATTTAATGCTGGCTTCCCCAGCCAAGTATCCCACTGTGCAGGTCACAGAAACATCCAGCAAATGTTGACCACTAAATATAGACCTCAGTCATGGGCTTTTTTTAGAGGGAGTTGTCTTGCCACATTTTTGAAATTATGATCACTGTTTTAGTCATGCTGTGTGTAAAGCACATACCTGTGTTCCTC